TGAACATACAATTAAACAACCCAACGGCCCCACTTCTAGAAATTTCGCCCTCATGGGCTGAAACCTTTTGTTCGCACAAGCACTGGTACAAGAGTGTTTGTTCATAATAACAAAAATGAGGACACTCTGAATGCCTCAGAGTTCACCGAGCCCTGAAGAGGCCAACCGTGACGTGTCCCCACAACGCAGAAGGACTCTGCGGTAAAGAGGGAACCCGGCGCTGCCACCGCATGGAAGGACTTCAGAGCAGCACCAGGTGTTAAAGAAGCCACTTACAGGGCGGGCTGGGGTCGTGGCTCAGAGGAAGAGCACTCGCCAGCACGTGTGAGGCCCTTGGTTCGATCCTCAGCACCACATAAAAAATCTAATAAAATATATGTGTCCACCTATAACTAAAAAATATATATAAAAAAGAAGCCACACTTGAAGCTAGATGCTGTGGGGTTCTATTTATATGACATGTTTGGAAAAGGTAAGACTAGAAAAAAAAATGGCTGATTGTCAAGGGCTGGGGTGCCCAAGGGTGGACCACAAAGGCTCCCCAGGAGATTGGGGTGCTAGAATCACGCTGCACCTTGACCGTGGTGTGGACTGCGTGTCTGTGTGCATTCTACACAGGGTGAATTTATGTGGGCACATTATACCTTAATTAAACAAAAAAAAAGAGCCAGGCCCAGTGTGCATGCTTGTGACTCCAGCCACCAGGGGAGGCTGACCAGGGGTGGCAGGCCGAGGCCAGCCTGGGCAACTATGGAGAGAGATCCTGAAGAGATCTTGGTAGGGCACTTGCCTACGTGTGCGAGGCCCTGGGTTCGGTTGCCAGGACAGCAACAAAGAAAAAAAAAAAAGGAAGAAAGAAAGAAAAACATAAAAGAAAAACTTACTTCAGATTAGACTCTGGGATGGGCCTGTCAGGTGCCCACTTGGGGAGGTCAGGTTGAGGGGTGCTCTGAAGCAGGAATCTGGAGAGACAGGACCTGGTCAGGTTCAGCCACTGGAGATCCACAAGGAGGTGCTGGAGGTGAGCCCCGACTGCCTCTCAGGTTGGCAAGGACCGTTCCCCAAAAGGATCGTTCCAGTCACCAACGCCACACCCAGCCGGGGAAACGCTGGACCCTGTGCGGCCCTCGGTGATCTCCGCTGTGGGCAGCCCCGCCCGGTTGAAGGAGGGGAAACCCAGCCGCAGACAGAATCCTGTGGGCTCGAGGGCTAGGCCCTCTTCTTCTAGACGCACTTGACCTTGACTGCACTTCAGAGGCTTCGTGGATTCTCTAGGGATGTGTCATGAATCCTGATCTCACTAATCGCAGGTTGATTCAACAGCTAAAGTTCAGGCAGATCTTCGAAATTACACCTGGCCCACCTCAACCCCAGAACAAACTGGGATTCCATCTTTTTTAAAATGAAACCTTTTGGTGCCAACAACAATAAAAAAAAAAACATCTAAGGAGTCAATGACCCTTGCAATTTCAGAACTACGGTTTCATCTTCTTGCTGGTGGGGACTTCCACAGAAGTCACAATGTTAATACTGGGAACAACAATGAGAAAAGAAGGCAGAATGACAGAGGTGTGGCCCAAGGTCTGCATGTTTACACAGTTCCAATAAATCCCGTACTGGTGGTATTTTGAAGCACAACCACAAATGGCAGGGACCACGTGTTTTTGCCTCTGCATTTAGCAGCTGTGTGTCCTGAGGAAGTCCCTCAACTGTCTCTGAGCACCAGTTTCCCCATTTCTAAAATGGAGGCAGTGACCGTATCTGCCTGCCAGGGCTGTCTTGAGAATTACATAAGAGGATAGTGTCAAATAATAGGGACGATGGTATGAGTTTCCTATTGCTGCTGTAACAAATACCACGCGTCTGGTGATCTAAAGCAGTACGTATGTATTACCTTACAGTCTGGAGGTCAGAAGCCCAAAACTGGGTCTCGGGGAGTTGAAGCAAGGCGTTGGCAGAGCGGCATTCTTGGGAGGCTCAGGAGAGGGTGTTTCCTGCCCTTCCCAGCTCCTACAGGTGTCCACATTCCTGGACCGTGGCTCACCCTTCCACCTTCAAAGCCAGCAGCATCTTTCAGTGCCAGGAACCCTGTTTCCTTCCTCATGTCACCTATGACTTTGACCTTGCCTGCCTCTTCTGTGATGACATTGGGCCTGGCTTGATAATGCAGAATAATCTCCCCTGGTCAAGGGCTTCACCCTAATGGCACCTGAAGAGTCCCTCTTGCGGGTACGGGAGCATACAGAGCCTCGAGGGGCTAGACCTTGTTCTGTCCACCGCAGGGGGCTGTCTGTCAGTAGCGCCAGTGGGACTTGCTGGTTGAGACTGTGGCAGTGTCGGACAACCATGGTGACGACGGAAAAGCAGGGAAGAGACGGTGTGAAGCCGCTGTATCATAAGTGGACATCGCTGGGTGTGTGGTCCCTGCCTGTGATGGCAGCCCCCGGGAGCCTGAGGCAGGAGGATCGCCACTTTGAGGCCAGCCTCAACCATTTAGGGAAATCTTATTTCAAAATTTAAAAAGGACTGGGCTGTAGCTCAGAGGGAGAGCACCCCTGGATTCAGTCCCAGTACGATCAAAACCCCAAGACAAAGCTTACGTAGGAAAAAGACGCGGGGCCCCGGGCTGGAGGTCCAGGGCGCGCAGCTTACATGCTAACGCAGTGAGGTTGAGCCCTCGTAACCGGGTGGGCTGGTTTCTTTTTTTCATAATGCTTCTATAGAATTTTTTAATAAAATATTTTTTCAATTAAAATATTAGCAAATATGAACATGTTTACATATTGTTCTGGTTATCAATTGCCACATGACAAACCATCCCCAAACTTAGTGGCTTGAAAACAAGAAGTCAGCAGTCGGAGGGGCACACACCTGTCACCTGGGCACACACCTGTTGCCCCGGCACGAGGGAGGCTGAGGCTGGAGGACCGCTTCAGCCCAGGAGTGTAAGACCAGCCTGCGGGACACAGTGAGACCCTGTCTCAAAGAGGAAATAAATAGACAAATATTTATATATAATAATATGATTTATTATATAGGATCTACATTTCATTATGTGTAATATGTACAGATGTATTTCATTGTGTAGACTATAGATATGTTTCTATTTTACATAACACGTGTCTTTTCCTCTGCACTCAGGTCTGTGGCGTGGCTGGGCTCGGCTGATGACTCTCACACTTGGGGTGTGTCGTGGAGTTTTAGTGGATGGCCACTGGGGTGGAGACTCCTTCAGGGCCGCTCAGGGCTACCAGAGCTGTGGGCCCAGGGATGACCCAGCTCCACTTCCACCATGTTCTTTTGGTCAACCGAGCCCCAAGGCCAAGGGCAGCCCTCCAGATTCAAGGGGTGGAGGAGCAGACCCCATTTCTCAAGGGGGTGGCGTGGGATGCGGGGAACGGAGTGCCATCGGGGGCAGTGGCCTTTGAAGTGGAGGCCATCTGGAGCTTATCTTCACCCCTCTCTCCTGGGTCACCCCAGGACGTCGCCCTCTTCTGTGAGGGGGTCACTGGGAAGTTCATCTCAGCTTGTGGGTTTTCATTTAGGACATAAATCTCGTCCCCTCCTGAGCCACCATGAGCTTAGGCTTCTTGGAGAAGTTGGAGGGAACATTACTTTCTCATTTCACACCCTCCCCACTTCCTGAGCCAGAGTCCCCAGCTTTGTGCAGGGGACCTAAGGGTCAACCACAGTGCCTGGCCTTCCGTCAGCCTATGGGTGGCATGTAACCCACACCACGCCCAACACACCCTCCCTGACATTTGAATCTCGAACAGAGTGAAGAAAAACGTTTGCATTGGAACCTGGAGGTGACTTCAGGGCAGGGATTGGACTGAGCCAGAGTTTCTCAACTTCAGCACCTTGACATTTCGGAACAGATGATGTTTTTCTCGTGGGTGAGGGGTAGAGAGGAGCACCCTGTACATTGTGGGATATTTAGCTGCATCTCTAGCTTCTCCCTGTCAGATGCCACTAGAAGCCCCTGCCACACACCATTTATGATAATCAAAACTGTCTTCAGCCTGGTGAGGTGACGGGCACCTATAATTGCAGCTGCTTGGAAGGCTGAGGCAGGAGGATCTCAAGTTCAAGGCCAGCCTCAGCAACTTAGGGAGACCCTGTCTCAAGAAAGGCAAGCGGGGGTGGTGGTGAGGGTGCCTGGGGGTGTAGCTCAGTGGTAGAGCATGCTCACGGCCCTGGATTCCATCCCTAGAGTTGCGAGGAGGAGGAGGAGGAGGAGGAGGAGGAGGAGGAGGAATATAAATAACCAACATGGAAGTGAGAAAACGCTCAACATCATTAAACCATCAGGGAAATGCCAATCAAAACCACCAGGAGGCATCGCCACGCCCCATTGAGAATGGCAACTGTCAAAAAGACTCAAGAGAAGTGTGGACGAGGGTGCGGAGAGCAGGGGATTCCTGCCCACCCTCGGGGGAATGTGAATCCACCACAGAGAACGCGATGGGGGGCCAGATTAAAACTAGACCTACCACGAGATCTGGCAATCCCAGTACCGGGTTCATCTCCCAGGAAATGACAGCGGTATGCAGAGACACCCGCACCCTGTGTGCTCGGCAGCAGCCTTTGCGACTCCCCAGCAGTGGACACAGCCAACAGGGACCCGATCAAGGAAAGGTGCTACAAACGCAGTTGTGACAGTGTGGCTGGATCTGGAGCTCGTCACGTCTGTGAACTACCCAGGCACGCGGGACAGGCAGCACACTGTCACTCACGTGGCATACAACCAAGCCGAGCTCACGGAGGCTGCCAGAGCCATGGGGAGCAGGGGGGTCCACAGGTACCAAGGGACAGTTAGGAGCAAGAGTCCGCTGTGCAGTTGACGGTCACGCACTGTGTGTCCCACAAACCCGGGAGGGAGTCCGAATGTTTTTACCACGAAGAGGTGATATTCTAGGAGAGAGACGTGTCCCCCCAGATCTAAGCATTCCGCCACGTACGTAGTACGCATGGAAACGTCACATGGGCCCACAAAAACGTGTGATTTTTAAGTTTTTAATGTATCAGTGAAAAAATGAATTTAAATTTAAAAATGTCTTCACAGGGTCAAATGCTTCTTGGGGGCCAAAGTCTCCTCCAGTGTCTTGGTGCTGTGGGTCCTGGGGGGAACAAGCCGGCTTGGCCATGGGGCACCTGAGATTCCCCAGGGCTCCTGGTGGCAGGTGTCCGCAGTCTTGAGAGCCCTGAGAAGCCACTCCCCCCTCCCCCATTCTGGATGTTTCTAACAAGTGACCTTATGGGGTAATTACTACTGGACGCCTCATTTTGCCACAAGGAAGTGGCTTTTGGATGAAGCCAACAGATGGATGGTCGCGGAAGAGAGGGAACCTGGTTCCAAGTTCCAGTCCTGAGCCTCCAGGTCAACAGGAGTGGCCCTTCCCACCAGTAAGCCCCTCCCGCGGAGCCAGACTGGACTGGGTTTTCTGCTACCTGCAGCCCTCGTACCAGCGGGGACAGCCGCGAGGTGGAGAGAGCGCTCCTCAGAGGACCAGCAGCCTCGGGGGCCATCCTGCTTCCTGTTCTTTCCAAGCCTGGTTCTGGAACATTCTCTGTTTCTCCAAAGCACTTTCAACCCTTCCAGCAAATTCCTCTTCTGCTCCTGTTGGTCTGACCAGGTACTGTCGAAGCTGCGGGCAGAGTTCTGGTCCTGAGTTGGCTGATCCAGCAAAGGAAACCCAGCCTGCCTGGCCACCACACCCACCCCATCAGGAGCCCAGCCGGCCTGGCCACCACACCCACCCCATCAGGAGCCCAGCCGGCCTGGCCACCATGTCCACCAGGAGCCCAGCCCGCCTGGCCACCACGCCCACCCCATCAGGAGCCCAGCTGGCCTGGCCACCACGCCCACCCTATTGGGAGCCCAGCCGGCCTGGCCACCACGCCCACCCCACCCAGGAGCCCAGCCTGCCTGCCCACCGGGAGCCCAGCCGGCCGTGGCCTGTTTGCTGACTGTGGCTGGTGACTCGGCTATGGCAAAGCCCAGCCCCATGGAGCAGGCGGGAGGGAACTCAACACAGAAGACGTTGTGGTGGGTTCTCAGGTGACGCTTCAAGGGGGCTGCTGCCATGGGCAGCCCTGTGGGTCACCCCATTGTCCCGGGGACCCTCCATCCAGCAGAGATGAGAGTTAGGCAAAAGGGCAGAGAATACACGGCTCTGTGGTCCCAGACCCTGGCTCCACCGTCAGCTCTGTGACCCCGCCTCACACCTCGCAGCCTCCTCTGTCCACAAGCTTCGTCAGACGGCTGTGAACCTGAGCTGGTGACCTACTGGCCGCTGTGCCAGGTGTCCACTCGTGGAGGTGGGACTATGGAATCATTCATTGTAACTGTGTGTTACTTGCTACCCGCACGCTGTCTGTCCAAGTGTCCTTTCCCTCTCTGGGTGGTGACAAAAGTCCTGTTGTCGTGGCAGTCTGGGTGGCAGTGGCAGGAGTAGAGGTCACGGTAGCTTCCTTGGGGACCTCCTGTGTTCCAGGCACCTCCAAGCTCGGGGCACATCGACTCTCAGAATTCCCCCAGTGACCTCCGAGGCGGGAACCAGTATTATCTCCATGTCACAGAAACAGAGGAACAAAGAGTAGAGACTTTCCCCAAAGTCTCGCATCCCTGTAGGGTGGCCCCAAAGCGCCCTCTCTCTGATTCCACGACGGGCCACGCTCTTTTGGTCACCAAAGCTGTCTCATCTTCATTCTTCAAGCTCAAACCTCCTCCAATTAAAATGCCAGTCTCAATGAATGAGCCACAGCTGTGCCCATCATGCATGAGAGGCACGGTCAAGGGCCAATCAGAGGAAGGCAGAGGGGTGCCTCCCACCCATCCCATTCACGGGAAGTCAAACCAGGCAGAAACCCAGGGTCAGACGGCAGAGGAGGGCAGCGGCCAGAGCTGGGCCAGGTGGCTCTCTGAGGGTCAGAAGAGTTTTGTGTGTTGAACTGGACGCTGGGTACAGGAGCATGTCAGCTGGAGGGAATTCTCTGAGCTGAGCACTATCTATGCATGAGAACGACCTATGTCATGATGGGGCATAGAGGGATTTTAAATCAAGTCTGAAATCAAAGTTGTTTTTTCAGGAAAGGTTTACTGAGTTATAAGATGTGAACAGAAAAGCATATGTAGATGCAATAATAAAAAGTAGGACACGTGTGTTCACGTACACACATGCGTGTATTATCATGATATGCAGCAGTCATCCGTGTATCATATGCGTACACACCTATGTACGTGTGTTTTCTGTACATGTTTTATAACTCAATGAACATTTCCTAAAAAACAACTTTGATTTCAGATTTGATTTGAAATTGCTCTCTGCCCCACCACTGCCCCCAGGAAGAGCTGGACCCTGGCTCTAGGGCCTTGGGTCTGGGCTTGAGGGGGACTGGAAGGGGCAGGGGTGCCCTCTCCTCTTGTCTTCCCCGGGGCAGCGGGAGCGGGGAAGACTGAGAGGACAGCAGGGAGGTAGCCGGCCCTAACTGCTGGATGACCTTTGAACTCAGGACCCCAATACCACCTTATTACACATGCCAAGTGCCTGACACCAAGCAGGTGTGTCGGGGGCTCTCGCTGGAACCCAATGTTCCTGTTATTTGGAGGAGTAGATGTCGGGATGAACTGCTGTGTTAATATTCCTGAGAGTTTGGGGCTTGGGGCTGGAGAAGGAGGACATGTCCCCCCAAGCCTTTTAGTTCAACAAAAGAAAAAGCCAAACCCTGTGTCCTGGACAGAGTCCTCCTAGAGCCGACCACCAGGCCAGGACGTGAGCGCAGCCACGGGGCATCGAGAGGCCAGCTGAGGAGTGGGAATGGACCAGGGTGGGACACTGACCAGCGGGTTGTCACTAGGCAAATGGGGCTCCACCTCATCGGGGACCTCTGGGAGGACTGTCCTTCGAGCTGTCCCACCCACGGAGCAGGGAACCGTGGCTGTCCACTGTGTCCCCTGGTGGTTGTTGAGGTGGCTCCTAAAGCCTGGGTTCCTGGCTGTCCTGGCCAGGCCTCGAGAGGACAGGGTTGACCCAGGGGACTGAGAAGGGGCCTGGTCAGAGACTGAGGGCTGAAAGGCACAGGCAGGTCATCGCAGGATCAGTGCCCACCGGTCCCCAGACTCATCCTGGGGAGAAGCTGGCTTGGATTTGCCGAAGCTGCTCTCCCAGAGACTCGCCCGCAGCCAGAAGCATCCCCGGATGTCCAGGAGGACGGAAGTTGGTGAGGTCAGGGCCACAGTGCTGAGCGGGACGAGTGACAAGCTGCGTTTGCAGACAACGTCCATACTCAGGTTTCTCAGAGACCGCGCAGGGAGAGGGACTCGTTTCCAGTGGTGTCAAAAGGTGGGGCTTGGGCCGTGTGGACTGGCTGGTAAAGGAGACAGGTCCCCTGTGCAGGGTGACAACTCATGATGGGAAGAGAGGGAACTGGGAAGGGCAGGCGACTGGAGGGCAAGGGGGTCAGGGCTGGAGAGAGGACACCTGGCGCTGGAGATGCAGAGACGGAGAGGAGCAAAGACCCCGTGGAAACCGGCTCACCAGCACGCTGACCGTGGCCAGGAGACAAGGGACCAGGAAGTGACTTGTGCCTCTCTCACTCCCGTTTCCAAATTGACTTCGTTAATTGTGTTTTACTTTTGTGATTAGAAAAAAATATATGAGAACCAAAAATGCCCAACCCCCCGATGGTGCAGAGCCACGGCCCGCGTGAGAGGAGGCCCAGCCACGAGGCCCAGCCAGGAGGCCCAGCCACGCTGCTTCCTCTCGGGTTCTGTGCTTCTCAAAATGATTGAGGTTCGCTATTTTCTCCCCTCTCTCCGTCTTTCTTCCTTCTTCCTGTTTTGGAGAAGACCCAGTCAAGTGACCTCAGTGTCCACAGGGGCAGAGGAAGGGTAACCCTTGGCCAGAGCTGCCTGGAGCCGGAGTGGGTTGGCCTCCCCTTCCCGTGGCTCCCTCTTGGCAAGACCTGTCTTGTCGCAGGGTGACGGAGGAGGCCCGTGGGCAGGGAACTGGCTCATGAAGGAGGTGAAATTTCGGAGCAAGCCCCTTCTTGCCCAGACTGGGAGCCAGCCCTGGGGATGGGCCATGATGGGTACCGTGTGGTCATGCCTGCGAGGGCTGGACGCACATGCGGACCGGCCAGGCCACGCGAGAGCATGGAGCCACCCGAGATGGGGGTTCACGCAGGCTGGAGTTCTGCTTTCAGCCCTCCACATACAGATCTCCTTCCCGAAATGAGGAAGTCAGGAGCGAGCAGGGAGATTCTGATTTAGGAGAGTGGTGACCGGGTCCTGCAGGTGGTTTCCTAAAGATCTTGCATTCCAGAGCAGCTGCGGCTTGGGGGCAGGAATGTGGCTGTGAGCCACCCCCACTCTGCCCCCAAGGTAGAGGCAGTAGAGGAGACTGAGCCTTGAGGCCACAGAGATCACCAAGCCCAGAGGTGTGGACACAAAGCATTTAGGATCCCTTGGTCCCTGGACAAGTCCCCATCCGGGTGGTTCCAGACCTGGGCGCCCCTCTCTTGGCCCCTGCGTCTCAGCCTGGAGAGGACATTCCTGCTAGGTGTCTCTTTTATGGAAGGGGGAACTGTCCCCGGAGCTCGTGGGGAGATGGTGCCTCGTGCCCATCAGCCATCGTTCAAGACCCCACACGAAAGAGGTGTGGACGAGGCCATGTCACTGTCCCGCCTCTGCCAGCCAAGAAAGGGGGAAGGGGTGACGGGCTGACGGGTGAGCACAGCGTCTGCCTCGGAAGGGAATCAACGTTTGCCCAGGCTGCCCCTAACTTTCCAGCTTCCTCTCCCATATCCAGCTGATCACAGGGCCCTGCGACTCAGAAGACCCAGCTGCCCCCAGGTTCTTTCTGCAGGATATTACTCAGAATCTCTGGGGGACCATCCGCACGGTTGATTGGCAGCCACCTCAGGCCATTTCTCCAGGGCTTCGGTGGCCCCGGTCTGCTCTGAGCGGCCAGCCCCCTGGTGCTGCCCCGGCCCTAACGCCATCCCCACCCGGAAGAGGCGCCTAGCCTTCTTCCTTAACAGCCCCCAGAACTTGGCTGGATTGAGTAGACACAGGTTCAAGTACTGTCACGAGCCCCTGCCCACAGTGACTTCCAGAAGAGGTCATTCTGCGAGGGGCCAGTGAGCGCCCAGCTCTGACACCAGCGGCATGTTTTCTGAGGCGGGAAGGTCTAGGGCTCCGGGTCCCAGGCTCCTATCTCGTTCTCTTCCATCCCTTCTACCTAGTTCTTGTCTGCACAGTTCAAGTTGACGTCCCCTACGTCACAGTCCAGGCAGTGGGACGAGGAAAAGGTGAAAGAAAGACCCACAGCCCCAGGCCCACCCACCAGCCTTTAAGGCTGGTTTTCAGGTGGCCTGCAGCACGCCCACTCACGTCCTATTGGTCAGCAGGTAGTCACATGGCACCTGTAGCTGCAAGGGAGGCTGGGAAATGTAGTCTCCAGCTGGGCAGGCACGTGCCCATCTACAATTCTATTTCTATGAAAGAACAAGAGATCTGATACCGGGGACAATCAGTGTCTGTCCCAACAGCTTGGATGAGCCCATGCAGCGAAGGAAAGTTTACTGAAGTCTCAGGGTAGCAGGTGGGAACTACAGGTGGAAAAGGAAAACCCCGAATGAAAAGATGAGCTCCTTCTGGGGCCCCCATGCCCCGCATGGAGGCTGCCTGGCCCTCTCTCCAGTGTGGGCCCCCCTTCCTCCTCTGGTCCCCGATGAAGCAAAAGGCCCTCCTTGTCCCTCAGTGAGCCTGGCTTTCTGGCCTGTCCCAGGACATGGGCGGTGGCCTTCAGAAAGCGTCCCCATGTGGACCTCCAGGGCCTGGTGAGGCCATGTCCAGGTCCCTGCTCTCAGTCACTCCAATGGGAGTCCTGGCCATGCGTCCCTCCAACACAGGGGAAGGGAAAGTTCCGGCCAGCCCCTCTCTCTCTACTGGACCGGATCTCAGAGACGATTTCCATCTTTAAATACAGAGACGACTGGAGCAAGTGCTTGTTACAGAGGGCACAGCTGTCCCAAGGGGTCCAGGGACACTGCTACCTGAATCTACACTTGGAAACGACTTACCTGGGCTGCGGAGGTAGCTGAGTGGTAGAGCGCTTGCCAAGCACGCATGAGGCCCTGGTTCAATCCAAAAAGAAAGAAATGAATTCCTTTGTCCTATAAGGGTACGATCCTTCCACAGAGTGACCCAACTTACATACAGTGCTGTGCAACAGGGGGTGAGTCACTTAACCACCCTGGGCCTCAGGGTGAAATGAGAGTCCCTTTCATGGGGTCGTTGGGGAGGTCTAGAAAGATGATGGTGATAAAGTGCTTGCTTAGCACGGAGCTCACAGCTGACACTATCACATTTACTGTCACCAAACAACTGGATACAGGAGACTGCGTCTGGCTAGTGGCACTGTTTCAGGATGTCCCCCGAGAGCAGCGCCTTCTTCCAGGATGAAGGGGGCGAGACCACTTCCATCTTCAAAGACAGAGGCTGCTGCCAACCCCCTTGGGGAACGCGGAGATCTAGACCCGCGTCTAGGAGCATCTCCAGGTTTGGGAGGCCCAGGACAAAGCCTTCTTCAGGAATTAAGGGTTTCAGCCAGTGACAGCAGCGTCACCCAAGGTGGAGCACTGGGCGGCCCGTGTGATGGCACAGGTCGTGCACACACCCACGAAGCCAGCGCCGCTCCACCCCAGCAGCAGGCCGGGGAAGGCTGAGACGCAGAACAGCAGGGCGCGGCCCATGGGGCCAGGGCGTCCCGGGGAGGGGAGCCCACTCCTCCCTCAGAACCCGGGGCACCGGCAGCAAAGTCATCAGGCCTCACCACAAACCAGAGGCCAGGCCGACGCGCGGCTGCACTGAAGCGCCACACCCTGCCTCACGGAAGCAGGGGATGGGGAACTGGGGGACGAGAGGGCAGGGGACTTGCCCAGAGCCCGCTTGCCGAGTCGGCAGATTACAGAATCCGCACCCAGAACCACGGGGCAGGCAAACGTCCCTGACCCTGACCCTGTGACGGAGGGTGGGAGATTCTCCTGGCCTCTGAGCCCTTCCCCAGACGCCTCCTTTGGTGGAAACGGAGGCCAGGCTGGCTCCTGAAGGCCTCCCAGAATCCTCCCCAGGCCTCCGACCCACCTTCTCAGAGCACAGGCGATTCCTGTTCCCTGAGCCCCTCCTCCTGCCCCTGGGAAGTCACTTCCACGACAGCCAGCTTGGGACTGTACTCAGGTATGGTTTTAATGGAAGGGCGTCTGAAGGGCTTCCTGGGGCGGAGAGATGGGAAGAGCCCCAGTGAGACAGGCGGGGACTGAGGAGCTGCTGGGCTGCACCTTCCCTAAGCTCTGGGGGCAGAACTTCTCCACATCAACAGAACTTCAGAACCGGAAGCAGCATGTAGAGTTGGACTGGGTTCAAGCCCTGAGCGTACCACCTCTTACCTGTGTGACCAGGAGCAAGTTACTTGACCTCTCTGTGATGCACCTCGAATGGTGATCAAAACAGCACAGCCTTCACAGAGTGGTTAAGTGAGAGTCACTGTCATGATCAGTGTCATCCTCATTGTCATCACTGCTATCTTTAGAGCTCCTGGGCGTTCTTGGGGAGACTTCACAGCATCCTGGCTGAGAACACAGATGCTGAGACCAGATGCCTGTATTTAAATCCAGCTGCCATTGACCTTGGCTGCAAGTGACCTCTCTGAGCCTCAGTTTCTTCATTTGCCAAGTTTTCCCCTGGACAGAGAGATTGGCTTAGAGATGCCACATATGTCTCAACTGGACCAACGAGAGTCAAGGCCAGATACGTGCTGGACCACGGGTGGAAGAAGTTCTTTCCACTGGGGTTGCTGAGCTAGCAGGCCCTGAGCCTGGAGCTGTTGGGGCCATCCTGGTTATCTAGGGAGGAGAGCCTGCCTGGGAGTGAAGCCAGCAAAAGGGAAGCAGATAAGCAAGCCAGAGAGAGACAAGTCACGATGACATGGCGCCTGGATCCAACTGTGCCTGAAGCAATCTACCTTTGGATTTCCCATTTTTCATGAGCCAGTGAATTCCCCATTTTGCAAAAGCCAGTCTCCGTTTTGCAAAAACCATAAGTTGGGTTTTTCTCACAGAAAAGCATCTAGGTTGATGTCAAGAGGTTAAGCAACTTGCCCAGGCCTGAAAGTTCGAGAGGTCAGTGTTAGCTATGGTCACACAGGATCCAGCTCGGCCAGCCGTGCCCCACCTCTCCACCAGGCCAGCATCCTGTAGTGGTGTTCACTGAGTTCCTGCGTCCGCCCTCCCTGGGCAGCCAGTTTTTTCGACTTTGAAAAGTGGTCATGCCAGGCCCGCAGCGCTGCTGGGAATAGAATCCTCAGCTAACTGAGCTGCCTCCCTCGGAGGCTGGAGCCCAAGCCTCTGCTGCCCGTATCTCGGGCTCTGGGCCTCGGCTTCACTCACAGTTACTCCACTGCCAGGGGGTCTTTGGCTGTCCCCATAGGCCACCCAGGCCAGCTGCCCACAGCCTGTGGGGAGAGCGTGTGAGTCTCAAGGGGGGGCCCTTCCCTTCCTGGCTGTGTGCCCCAAGGGTGGGCCCAGGGAGCGGGAGGCCGCTGAGGACCCTGGAGCTCGGAGCCGTGAGGGGCAGAGAGCCCTGGCATCTGTCCCCGAGGACTGGGGCCCTTGGAGCGACCTGCAGGGAGACAGCCCCGCTCAGGTGAGCTTCGCCTCTCTGCTCCGTGCACTTCCTGGGCAGCAGCAGAGACAGAGGACACCCATGCCACGGTGACACAGGGGGACGCCAGGCAGAGAACGTCATCAGGCGCACTGCTAGGAAGGACCGCGGCCAGGGGACGGTCGGCAGGGCCTCTCAGCACAAGTGACCTTTCTCGAGAGTCCCGCCTGGTCCCCCGGGTGCTGGGCTCGGAGCCCTGCTGGTCTCCCGGGAGGTCAGGACCCGCTCTACCCGATGATGCTCGCTGAGGTGCTGTCAGGGGTCAGCCACCTGCTGGAGGCTCGGTGACCGGCCGTCCTTCTCCATGACAGCTGCAGGACCTGCAGGAAGGCTGACTGGCCACTGCTCTGTAGTCCTGAGCTAAATCTGGAGGAAAGGCCGAGAAACCACGCAGGACCGTCCCCAGGCACGCCTGCCGGGAAGAGGTTCCACCCGCACGAGGACACGGTGATCTAACCATCGTCACTTGGATTCCAGTCACCGTCATCACATGGCTGGGGGCCCTGGGGCTTAGGCAGTTCGGGTCAGGTCCCCTGGGAACCAGGGGAGCTTTAGACGGAAAGCCCAGCCTCCAAGTCACAGAAGACTCGGGCCCCTGCGTCCCTCCTCCCAACCAAATGTCAGCTTCTTGGACAGGACAGAAGTGAGGCGGAGCTGGGGGAACAGGCAGCTAGGAAAGAAGATGCCCATGAGCCAGGTGGGGAGAAGGGGATGCCTGGGGGGGACAACCACACCTATCCAGGGAGTGACACTTGACCTGAGACCTGCAGGGTGAGAAGATCTGCTAGAGTGACCCTTGCAGAAGGACCAGCTGGTGCAAAGGTCCTGGGGTGGAACTGGCCGTGTGTACTGAAGAAGGACGTGAGACAGAGCAAAGCACGCAGGGGAGGGGGGCAGGAGAGGCAGGCAAGTGCCAGGTCCAGTGGCTGCAAGCCTGAGCTAGGAAGGACATTTTATCTTAAGTAGGATGAGCCTTCATTGGGGGATTATGCATGAGGCAGGGCGAGGGGTGGGGGCTTCATGATCCAATATGTAGAGCTCTGTCTGGCTGCTGCCATGTGAAAAATAGAAACGAGGGCAAATGAGCTGGCACCTGGAATCAGGGATTTCATTCAGGATTAATAGTTGTCATAAGGTTTCCCCTTCTGCCACTTCAGTGGGTGGGGCACGGGGCCCCCAAAAAGTCATTTCCAAGTCCTCACACCCAGTTCCCGTGAATGTGACCATATTCCATATTTGTGAAAAGGATCTTTGCACATATGATTAATTTAAAGATCTGAGATGAGCTTGTCTGGAATCACCTGGAACTGCCAACTCACTCTGGATTGGGGTGGGCCTAAAACCCACGACAGGTGTGCTTATAGGAATGAGGCCAGCCGGACGCAGTGGCACAAGCCTGTAATCCCAGCTACTGAGGAGGCTGAGGCCTGAGGATTTCAAGTTTGAGGCCAGCCTCAGCAATTTCGGCCCTATCTCAAAATTTAAAAAGGACTGGAGATGTGGCTCGTGCCAGAGACCTTGCCTAGCACATGAGGCCCTGGATTCCATCCCTAACACCTCAAAGAAAAAAGAATAAGACAGAGGGAGATTTGACAGGCGGAGAAGCAGAGAAGAAAGCCACGTGAAGACCAGGCAGAGGTGGCAGTTACGTCACCATAAGCCACAGAATGACTGGGGTACCAGAGCTGGAGGGGTCAGGAAGGGATCTCCCTGGAGACTTGGGAGGGAGCATGGTCCTGTCAACACCTTGATTTCAGACTTGGGGGCCTCAAGAGCTGTGGGGGGACAACATTTTTCTAATTTTAAGCCACCAAATTTATGGTAACTTGTTACAGCAGCCCTAGGAAAGTTCACAGCCACTGGAGAGCCCAGCCTCGGGCCCCGTTAGACCTGCCTTCACCCACTCTCCCCACAGGAGCCTGGACCTTTGGCCCTTTCAAAGGCCAGGCGGTCACTGGGTGGCACCCCTGCAGGTCTGAGGGCCGCTTGGCTCAGGATGGGCGTTTGACTCGTTGACTCCCTAACCTGCACACAAGGATGGGGACCAGACAGCTCCGCTCTCCTTTCCCCAGGGAGCTCTCGGCACTAGGGATCCAGACAGGTTCTTTTTTTTTTTTTTAAGAAAAAGAGAGAGACAGAGAATATTTTAATATTTATTTATTTATTTTTAGTTTTCAGTGGATACAACATCTTTATTTTTATGTGGTGCCGAGGATTGAACCCAGCGCCCTGTGCATGCCAGGTGAGCGCTCTACCACTTGAGCCACATCCCCAGCCCCAGGTTGATCTTTTAATTGAATTTGTGTGTGTGTGTATGTGTGTGTGTTGCTGGTGATTGAACCCAGGGCCTTGGGCATGCGAGGCAAGCACTCTGCCAGCTGAGATATATCTCCAGCCAAGTTCATCTTTAAATACTTAAATAAGGGCAGAAAAAAAGCACATGGACTGGAGAATTGCTTAAATGGGCTAAGAATTGAATGAGGCAGTCTCTGTGTGTGGCTCCTAAACTTCCACCAGTTCAAGCAACTTTTGTCACATCCCTGCCCCATGGAACACTCAGTTAGTAAAAGATATTGACTGTCATGAGGCTGATCCCTGCCCACCCTCCCTTAGCACCCCTTCCTCATCTCCCCAGTTAAATGGGTGACCACAGACTTTTCTTATGTCTGAACTAAATATATATATATATATATATATACACACACACACACATACAGCCTATCAGTTGCATTTAATTGGCGAGAATTCATGCAGGGCTCATTTGCTATTATCTGAAGGTATATAATGATCAGACTTTTATTGAGCCGCTCACTATTCTAAGAGTGCACGCACTCATTCATTCTGCACAGCACCTCTATAAGGTGGGCACTTTTATTGCCTCCATTTTACAAAGTGGAGAACAGAGGTACAGAGATTTCCAGTAGTTTGCCCAAGGAATTTGGACACCAGGAGCCTGGCTCCAAAGCTAGCTTCCTGGGAAGACCAGCTTAGAAACCAAGTTGCAGTGCTACTCTGGACAAGTGGTTCTGCGGCTCTGGGACTCAGTTTCCTCAACTCTAAGATGGGACTAATATGCCTCTATTGGACATGGTGGTGCCAGGTACAGTGCCTGCCACAAGCACCCAAGGAGCGAGCTAGAATTCAACCGCTAATACCAAGTAGCTGCCCTGGGCAGGCTTGTGCAGGGAACAGGGAACAGACGACGGAGTTAATAGGGTCGGTGCTCTGGTCCCACGGAGTGCACCATCGCCAGGTAACCGGAAGCCCAGGGAGGATGCTTTAAACTAGAGCCCGCAGGAGGGCAGCCTCACCAGCCCTGCTCACACGGGGCTGCGGACGAGGAACGCCGGTGCCCGGGCCTCCCCGGGTCAGGCTGCCTGCACCCTGTGGCGTGGGCACCGGAGCCGGCACTGCGCGCGACACACTCCCCAGGTCCACTGAGTTCAGTCTGATTCTTCGGGAAATACTGAAAACCATGCAGGACCCCATCCATCCGCTCCGGCAGCGCCAAAGGGAACCGAGTGGGGTCTCCAGCGGCGCGAATCATCAGGAAGTGTGTTACGTTCCACGAAAAAGGGGTGGACATCGGGCTACAGCCGAGACAACGGAGCACGCTGCCCGCCCTCCCACCCCACTGGCAGCACTGAGGCCAGGGCGCCGGCGCTGCAGGAGGGACGCGCGACTATCTCAAGGTCACTCACTACGTGACTCAACCCGCCGGGTCGCGCCTTGAACTCAAGATCCGCCCGCGCCTCGCGAGTCCACGAGCCGAGGGCGGGGCCCGGGGTCGCCTAGGCAACCGGCGCGCGCCACGCCCGTGCCGAGCCCGGCGGGGAGGCGGGAGCGCGCGCGGCCGGACGTCTCGCGGGGCTGCGGCCGCTTTCCCGGCCCCGCCCCCGGCCCCGCCCCGCGGAAGTCCTCGCCGACATTCCCGAGCGCTGGTTGGTCCCGCGGCCCCGGGGGCGGAGCCCGCGGCCGGCCGTGCGTACTTCCGGCTGCCGGGTTGACATGAAGTAGCAGCGGCGGCTAGGGCGGCGGTAGCGGCGGGAGTGGGGCTGGTAGCGGGCCTCGGGGCTCAGAGCGCGGGGCGGCCTAGAGCGGCGGACGGCGCGGCGGGCCGAGCGGGAGGCGCAGCGGCCGCCCTGGCTGTCATGGAGATGGAGAAGGAGTTCGAGCAGATCGACAAGG